CTATTTACTTGTAAGAATTTGGTGTAGCCAATGTCCATATCGCAATCAGTAATTGCTTCTCCGGAGAAATTGGTTCTCTGCCAAATCTTTCACTCTGTTTACAGAGTTTTGGTCTTAATAATTCCAATAAAATATTAAAAGTATTCCGTTTTATTCTACAATAATAATTATTTTGATGTATATATATATATATATATGAGTAAGAATAAATAATGTGTATTAATTAACTTATTTGTAGATTGATTATATATTCATAAGATAGGTGTAATAAGAAATATATATTTGAAAAAAAGAGAGAAAAAATTGTAAATTTGACAGAGATAGTTGTCTATAATTGTAAAATAGATTATAAGAGAGGGACATTTTTATATTATATTAAATTAATAATATTTATAAGGATTAATTATATGTACATGTATATCTTACCGAAAATGCATTTGAAATTCCGTATCTGTATATAAAGGCACGACATTTTCTACATAATTTTGGCAACGAACATGTTGCATTGTACGTGGCCTATCAATTAACATTAATATTGGCAAAACATCCTCCTCATCTGATGAATCGCTTTCAGATGAGGATTCTATTATACATTTTGTAAATTCCACCGATATCACAATGTCTTCCATATTTTAGAGGTTTACATGCACTTCAACTACAAAACAAGAATAAGAGGTTATATATCACAGTGTACTGCGAATCGTTCTACTATTTGTAGCATTATAAGTCGCAAAAGCAATAGTAGTAATTACGGAACGATCATGGAGCTTTACTGAATTACGTCACACTCTCTTAGTACTTACAGTGAATAACGAAACGCAGCCTAAGGGCACTGTGAGCATCGTGCGCGCTACGAAATGATGTCATTATGTTCATGATGGCACTGCGAGCATGAATTGGACCAACCATGAGTGTACTGATAGCGCTGTTCATGGAGGACCTGGAGAGAGCATTAGACGATCGAGCGTTAACCGCGATGGCCTATATACCGGAAGCAAAATTCTGGGCGGGAAATTTTGAAATGGTCGTTCGTGGAGATAAGCGTTCTGTCGGGCACAGTCCGCCTTACAATTACAAAGGGTTAAATAATAAAACTAACAAACTATTAATAAATAATAAAACTAACAAACAATGTAAATTTATCTAATTTAATCAGAGCAGGAAAAAGTTTATTAAATAAAACAGAAAAACATTGATTCAAATGTAACTATTAAATATATGTATAGAATACAGTATTACAGATAAAAATGATTTTTGGATATACATTCTGTACAAATTGTAAGCTTATTATAGCAGCACAATTAACGCAAAAAGTGAAATAAATACAATTGTTCAATAAATTTTTATGCCTGTTGTACAGCCATCACCGGTTAAACTTGAACTTCATTATTGCGAAAATTGGATGTGTCTGAAACAAAATATACTTTATACATAATAATATACCAATTACTTAAAACCTTTACATTACGTGTATTGTAAAGTTACATTAAGAATAACGTAAAATAAAATAAAAAGACATGTACCTCATTCCTGAAAATGTTAAAAAATATGTACAAAATCTAGCGGGAGGTCAAACATAATAAAAGCCATTATTAAAGCAAGGAACAGAATATAGAGATCGTTATTTATTGTTAAATGCAAAGCTAAAAAAATACATGCAAATTATATGAAAAAATATGATGACATAAAGATATGAATAATAATAATCTTAAATATATATAAATATGAAACCATGCTAAACACGCTACATGCATCACAAAAACATATCACAACAGTGCAATACATTGCTCTTTAAATAAAAACATATCACATAACAGTGCAATATTATTGCCCTTTAAATAAAACGATTTTTTTTAAATGGTTTCTTATAGAATCTTTGGCAGATAATTGCTTCGCAACGTAGTACAGTCTCAAACTTGCATATTCTTCTATAATTGCTTTTATAAATAAAATCCGATGATTATAAAAAATATTTTCGTCGCTGGAATGAAGTCTGTTCATATCATCTAATATCTTAGAAAAAAGAAATTTTTGAAGCGCTTCGTTGCAAATTTTATACTTAATTGCATTATCTGTTAAATTATCTAAAATACGATAATGCTGAAGTATTTTCTCTGTTTCTTTGCAGACTGCTATTTCATTATCGCTAGGGTATGTTAACCGACCTTTGTTTTTAAAATTTATAAAAGAATTTAATAAATTGTCTTTTTCCCCTAGCAATTGCGTTAGACATATCTCACATTTAATTTTTATTAATAATTTTTTGGCGACAAAACCAGCAATATACACGACAATACTTTGGGCGTACTCAGACAATGTGCAAGAGAACAGATAGTCGTGATCTTCAAGGGCCTCACTAACTGTAGAGCAATCTGATATTTCGTTATGAATAATACTTCTTTCGTTGATTAAATCAACAGCGCTAACTTTTTTGCCGGAACTACAATTCAAAATATTAATTTCCTCCAAGGGAATACAATTTCCGATGCCATTGTTTTTTATTTCAGAGTGAATTAATAATTTTTTATATGCTGCAGTGAACTGTCGTGCAGTCGGATTGTCATTGTGTCCACCATGATCTCTCAAATTACCAAAAAAAAGTTCCAAATGGTCTTGTCCTAATTTATGGAGTGGAATATATTCTAAAATAGGTGTGTCACAACCAATATAAGTATCGTACAAACAAATGGCACTTTTCAAGGCCATAACAAGTCCGAGTGGACCTGTCTTTCGTCGACTTGCAATAATTAATCCGCCATCCTTATCCTTCAGCCCGAATATATATATACAAAAGTCCGAATAAAACTGTTTAATTGTACAAATGTTGTCTTTGCACATTGCCTTCTTGTAGCCCGTAGCAGTGATTTTACGCGAATTTAATATATCGAACGCATCATTCATCATAATGATGAATTTTACTGTCGCAGCGCAATATGCGAAAGCTTCAAGCTTTAGTACATTTTTGCAAAATAACAAAGAATCTGCAACAGATCGACTTAACAGTTGAGTTGCCAGTTTTGTTTTCATTTTTTGTTTGCAAAATAAAATATGTTTTTTTCTTAGTCAATTTGCTAAATGAAGCCCCTCATTCTCTTGCAGTTTATTTAATTCCACAAGATATTTGAAATTAATTTCATTACCGTCTATGTCCAACAAACTCAGTATTTCGCCAAACAAATTCCGTGCTAACTTTATCATGTGTGACGGATCCGGAAATACAAATTCGCTGGTACAAATATTGACTTCGGTATTTAATGTTTTGATATCTATATTGCAATTCAACTGCTTTAGTACGCTGAAATTAACTGCTGCGCCATCAAACGTTATATTACTTATTATGATGCCACAATCGGATACAGTATGCACACATTGTTTCAGTAGTTCAGTTTCTTGTGTACTTGTCAATGAGTTAATGAGAAAATATCCGACAGGCACTTTCCACGCCTCATTGACACATACTACCATAAAAACAAGTGCTTGAGTTGCATTTCCCATTTGCGTGTCGTGAACAACACCACCAAAATCTACCAAACCACAATACTTTTTACCATCCCACTCTAAATGTTCGCGAATGGCCATCTCGTCAAAAACCAAAGAACATACAATAGATTTGATTAATTTTTTCACTTTTAGTCTTAACATATGCAATGCTTCTGAACAAAAACCCGGAGAACCATCAATTGTCGAATACCATTTACTTAGAGTTTTTGGATGTGGTAATGAACATAGAAACCGATCCCGAACATAATTATAAGCTTTTGGAGAAAAGAAATTTAACGTTAGTGCAAAACTACGTAAGCTTTGAGAATATTTTCTTGGTACCGATTTACCTTTATTTTTTAACAATAATCTCTTAAATAATTCTGTGTTGTTACCGAAATTTTGCGTGATTATGGCTCCATCCTCATCGTTCAGTAGATTCCGGTTCTGTAATGTCTTAATAAGATCTTGCAAATTTTTTAGTCTTTTCTTCTGGCGCCAATTTAAATGCTGCAATTTGCGAATTTTTTTCAGCCGCAATTGGTTCATGTTCTCCAATTCTAATATTTTCCTTTTAAGGCTGATTTTTCGAGGTGTGTCGCTTGCTGAAGGATAAAAGGAGTCTTCTCCGCAGGCAATACTTTTGTTGCTAGTTCCAGGAACAACAATTATTTCCAGTAGTTTATTGTCTTTAAAAGAATCACAGATCTCTGTATCAAAATTCCGTGTCTGCAAAATGTGAAAAATATTTATTAACTCTCGCATTAATAAAGAACTGCTTTGACAAACATTATTGTTGTTAATTTATATTAACAATTATTCTGAACCAAACGAAAGAGAAAGAATATATTATAAAAAATATTTGCTTCCTTATAACTTACATATTTGATTCGCTGAATGTGCACAGAAGGAATTGCATCAGATTTTAATCGTCTTCTCGTACCTGTATTCGTTTCAAAATCATCACTTGTAAAGTGAACAGAACATAACAAACTGTAATTTGTTGGTTCCCAATCTGGGTGATCAACAAATTGTATCCATTTCTTCCGTCTTTCTGGATCTTTAGGAAACCTGAAGGAATATTTTGTTACAAAGTTTTATCATTATTAAACGTTTATTTAGAACATAACGTTCTACATAAATATTAAAAAGGCATCTGAGAAAGCAGCATTTCCGAAGCATTGTTAATTTTATTTACTTACATGTGAAAAGTTATAGATGTATTTTTGGATTTCGATTTTGATCGACCACAAATTTTACAACTACCCATTTTTTTTAAACACAGTATATAAGAAATCAGGTTTACAATAATCACAGTATGTCAATTTAGGTTCGCTGGGTTGGTGTCAGTCATGTGTCTTTGGTTGCGTTCCGTTTTGCGCATAGCACGCATCATTCGCATCGCTAATGCTTAGCGCATTGGCTGCGTTTCGTTTCATTATGCGCATGATAAATGCTTTGAAACGGAACGATATTGAACGCATTAGAAGCAGAAAATCAAAATGGATTCCACAATAAATTGCGCTATCAATGTGACAATGTTTTTAATTGATGAAATGAGTGACAGTAATAGTAGTGAATCATCAATGACTCTTCCATTATGACTCTTCCTATTTTGACACTTTTTACAATATCGCTATCAATCGCCATATGTAATTACGCAATCGCATGGACCCATAGACTTATAGAATAGACTGGCCCCTACCGTAAGAAGTAGCGTTGAAAGATCTAAAGGATAGAGAGATGATTCCGGGACTCTCTGTCCTTCTCTTTCGTCTCGTGGTGGGAACTGAAGGGATAAGATGGAAACGAAGCGAGCATGCGTATACGAGATGAGGAGAAAGCAACGTGACATCGCCAATTTTATTCGGTTACTTCGTATATGCTGCGTATACGATTAAATAATATGGTACGTTCCTGCTGCATTTGCCATAAGCTCTACGGAGCAGAAGGTGTTACTTTTCATAGGTAAATATTTAATGTATATTTTTTATAGGTTAGAAGAATGAATGCTCGAAAAATTGCACACACACAAATTCATTTAGAAATATTA